CATGTGACCGTGGCAGAATTAGTGTAGCCCCTGATCCAACTGCTTATGGGTCAATTAACTGGAGTTCAAGTTTCTAGTACGTCCGACTAGCCAGACAGGTCCGGCAAGGGCGCCCTTGTTCGTATCAATAAAATGATGCGACTCTAGGTTACAGAGCTATTCTCTCCTCTAATGAGTCGTATTCTGTTTATTTCTAGACATGGAGAGTCTCCTCTTCCCACTCAGCAAGAGTGGTCGTACCTCCGTCACCGGCAGCTGCTCAGAGACGGAGTATTTGCAGGAGCTGGAACGCATAAACAGTGAAATCAGTGGATTCGTGCCTATAACGGCAGTAAAGACGGACGCCGAGGAGCCCTCAGCCTTGACCAAAACTGAGACTTCCGCTGCGGCGGCGGCGGCGATTTCTAAGCGACCACTTGCTTCCACGGTAGACAACCAACAGTGGAGACCGATTTCTATGGAGGAGGCGACAGCGGCCAAAACTGCTATGGGAGCAGCGCAGTATGCTGGAAACGAACATGCAGGGAACGCGCAGGAGGACCCCTTCCTAACAGAGGAATACTATTAAGGATGACAGTAATGTTGCGAACGATTCGGATATCTCCCCGTGAACATCAGCTAAATCCCCTTATCCCACTCACCCACTCCCGGACCCCATTTTCTACCACCTGACTACAATCAGGTCTTTATCCCAACATGTGCAAAATTCACTCACCGACCTCGGAAGTAACCGGAAAAAAGAGATATATAACATTTATTAACGTACTTTGAGAAGGCGATAAAACGTATAATATTGCAAAATATGGTTTGAAAAAAAGGAGGGGGACCGAACATCACAGCCAGTCAGGTGCTCGTATTTTTTCGCCTAGGCGACGAAAAAAACCGAATTCTTCGAGCCTTCGCTGGCTTTCTTGGAGGCTGGACAAATTGTCGTTCGGTGAGTCACCATCTGTATGCTGCTGCTGTTCACAGATGGCCGGAGTTCCGGTTAAGGCTGCATAGAAGGCAGATGCGGGTCGCATCAACTCGGTAAAGAGATTCTCTGAAACAACAAACACGGCCTACATAGAGGGGAGTGGAAATATGCGAGGAGTGCGAAGTTGGCGGCATACGAAAACCGCAGAAGCCTACTAATTAAAATATTTTAAGGTTAATAAGCAACTGACAGAGGGCAGAAAACGCTCGCTGGGACGGCCTCGATAGACCTAATCCCCCTCCCTGGGCTTCTTACACAGTGCGCTACTCTTAAGTGATCGTGGTAGTTATTGTCCTCGGGGTTACTTGATCGATTATTGCATCGGCGTGACCAGCAACGCGTACCTAGTTCATGTTTCTGTAATCGCTTCACTGGGAGTGCTAGTGAAGCCTTGAGTACTACTATGACCTCAGGTTTTCGATAAATTCGTAAAAATGTATTCAAGCCTCCACACAACCTGTCTTTTATAGTACGACGTGATTAAGCTTCTGCTGCCATATGTGAGATCTAGATCATAAAATTATAGAGGCACGTGAAAGAGTTCCAGGAATAAAATAATAG